TGGAGACTATACACAGTAATGAGGTTAATTTCAAGCCTTTAGATGGTGGTAGATACGTACAGCAGTGGCAATGACACGACGGCCTAGGCCAAATATCTCACATAGCTCGGGCCTTGTGTCACAGCAGTTATATACTAGACCTCGGTCCCTGTGTGTTGCACGTGATAGAACACCCGGCTTGTCTTAAAATTAAAAATGTGCAAAAATGTGCAAAAATTTACTCATCAATGTGGTTTAATTGGTACTTTTTGGTAGTTTCTTGTGGTAGTCTTGTTTTCTGTCTTGCATGTCTTCACTGTGTAATGGAATCTCGAAATATTACCAAATTTCACTTTATTCATAATCTTCTTAGGTTTCATGCTAATGAAAACTTATCATATAGAGTTTGGGCCTGGAGCGACATCATGGCAACAGCGCCCTCAGTTGTCAAGAGCAGCACGGGACATTTCCGAAGAAAATTTGCACTTTCACAAAATGTAAAACTAAAAATGGTGTCTTATTTTTTATACACTTTAACAGAGAAATGTTTCAGTGAAAAATTCTTGACGGGATCCTTGTGAAATTGGGGAAGTTTACATTTCAAACGTGACAACTATATACGTGTACACCAATGGGAGTTGTGTCACATGCGTCTACAATTTGTACATGTAAATGAGCGAGCCTTCTGCAAATTAATCGTGCGGAATTCCCAGTCTTTGACCTTGGCAGGAGTGAACTGCCCGGGTTATTTTAGGTTTTGTGAATAGATCGTTGCCCCGTAACACACGGAATGCTGGAATGTGCCGTGGGGAAATGGAACATGTTCATAATACTGACTGACTGGCTGTGCATGTGCACTCGGCAGTTCGCTGCGCACGTGCAACGTGACATGCCTTGGAAAGTTCATGACTACTAGTACATAACTCAAATAAGATTTGAAGGTTTGCATGATGATATCAAGATTATGTGTATTGTAGCATCATTTAACAAATCTGTTTTGTGCTCTGCCTGTTGTCAGGAGGTTAACCCTAACCACCCCAACTCCATCAAAATCCATCCCCCATTTTGGTGGATTTTGGGGGCTTGGTCCAGGAGGCCTGGGTGACTTAAAATTGATGGAGTATGATGGACTTGGGCCTAAATGGCCTGAAGCATTGCTAGAGGTATCTGATTGATTTTGCCTAGCTTCCTGTACTGCTGTTGCGATTAAAAGCCATGTGTAGCAAGTCCTTGAATGTCAACCAGTGCGTCAGTGGTGGATTCCATTATGTCATGTATAGTTTCGTATTGGACGCACAGTGATTGATTGATTTTGATGGACTTAGTCCAGTTCCTAGTAAAAGATGCTAGGGAGTTAGGGTTAAGCATTATATGTACAGTACATGTACAACTCCCTCTCTGGCTGGCAATTTCAACAAGGCCAGCCCAGCAGTCAACATTTAATCAAGTGAATATTTTTAACAGTTGAGTGCTTCTTGCCTTCATAAAGCAGGATTGACTGGCTGTAAATTGTTATGAAACCTGATACAGCTATGCTTTGACTGTAGGAGATTGATAAGCCAGCTGTGCCTACCAGTCACCTGCTTTTGTCTGTTGATGGAGCATGAGAAGTCATTGTGCCTACACGAAATATGATCTGACTGTTTGTGACTAGCCTGCCTAAAAGGCATGGCAGGGGAAGTGGAATGAATTTTTGACTGTCTGTGACTGATCAAACAAAAAGAGGGATCCAGATACTATCATGCTTGGAGTCGGTGCACTTGCAGAGCCCATAGCACAGGACTCTATAACTTGCAATTTTTTTTGTGGGGGGGGGGGGGGGAATTTGAGATAGTTTTGTCAACTGTAAAAGAAACTCCAGTAAAAGAAACTCCAGTATCTGACCTTTACTCTTTGGGTCCAAGACCTGGAAGGCTAGTAACTCTACGTTAGGGATTACCGAGGCAAAAAAAAATATCGTCCTGAAGAAAAAACAGAAAATCTACCTGGTCTTAGTTGAGTAATGACCAAACCATCTTGTCGAGTTACAAATCCAATTGACATCTTCATGCAGTCCAGTCATGAAGCCGGACTTCCAGATGTGGGATGTCAAAGGTCACCGAATGGAGAGATTTATTTCATTTCATTTGTTCGAGAAATTCAAAGAGAAATCTTACATCTTACGTGCATGTAAATCAGTGCACTTGATCAGTTGACATTCAGAAATCTTTTGAAGTGGACGATGCACTGAAGCTTTCTCTTCCAGAGAATACATTGTAAACTTGTAAATATTTAAGAATACATTGTACTGGTACATGTACATGTACGTACAAAATGTACCGGTTCATGTAGATGTTTTATTTGGTTGTGTTCAGTGACAAAACTGGACCATTGAGTTGACACTGGTATGCTGTACTGGAAACAGGTCAACTCGTACGCGAACCAACTCGTACGCGAGTCAACTCGTACGCGGATTGGTCAACTCGTACGCGAGACAACTCGTACGCGAACCAACTCGTACGCGTGCCAACTCGTATGCGAGCCAACTCGTACGCGAGCCAACTCGTACGCGAACCAACTCGTACGCGAACCAACTCGTACGCGGGCCGTTTTAGGAGTGGTTTCGAGGATTGGGTTGGCATGGTTGGGAAGAATTTGGGAATAGTGTGACGGGTAGTCCATAGTTCAATGTGTGACCGTTGTGTGTGATTGGGAGTGAACCCGTGAATGATGATAATAAAGTAACTGATTTTTGTAGTTAGACATGTGTTGTATCGTTTTGTGCATACCTGTGAATAGTGTGAATTCTTCTCTAAAAAATTGCGAATGTAAGTAGCAATGGCGGATTCAAAAATCAACTACATTTAATTTGAAAATCTCAACCTTTCAGAAAAGGTAAAATTATGCCGACCTACCGTACCGAACCTAATTTCATCTGTCCATGTGAGCTAAACCAATCGTCTAAACTCACGCGTACGAGTTGGTCCGCGTACGAGTTGGTCTGCGTACGAGTTGGTCCGCGTACGAGTCGGTCCGCGTACGAGTCGGTTCGCGTACGAATTGACCCGCGTACGAGTTGGTCGCGTACGAGTTGGTTCGCGTACGAGTTGACCTGTATTCGCTGTACTCTACATGTACATGTACATGTACATGTGTACATAATGCATTGTATGCCGAGAACATACATGTACATGTACATACTGAATATGTATGAATAGGTACATGTACATGTACATGTATACATGTATGCATACTGCTGAGAGCTGCATGTGCATGAAAAATGTACCAGGTACATGTACATTGAGTACATGGTGATGGGATGTCACTGGAGTGGAGGTACATGAACCTGACTGTGCCTGCAGGTACTGGTACCTGCACATGTACATGTATGGCTTGAGGGCTTATTGGACAGATTATCATGATTATGACTTGTCACAAGAGAAGTTCATGTACTCTGTGAGTCAAGACATGGACTCAGTATGTACTCAGTACATGAATGCATGTACATATAGTGTATCATATTTGTGACCCCTAGAGAAATTCTGCCGTGGCTGGAGAAATATAATGTACACGTATGTAGATTTTGGTTAGATATTGCTTGTTTGGTACCAGGTACCGGTATATTGGTAAAAGTGGTATACTGCAATACAATATTTCAGGGGTCCTAGAAAGGTACACGTACAAATCCCCATATCTACCGCAACAAATTATTTTTTTTTTAACTGAAAATTGACGTACCCTAAAATTTGATTCATTCAATTAAATTCATTCAATTAAAATATGCAATTCCTTATCTACCGGTATGCATTCGTGACGTACTGAGGGTGAATATAAGACCCAAACATTTCCCGGACAAAAATGACATTTGAAGTGCAAACAACGACAAATAGTTTTGGAACTGTCTCAAGTACATGTTCTTGTATAAAATACATAAAATTTGTTTGGACAAACATGGTAAATGAATGGTAAAGGTCTGATTTTCCTACATACATGTATTTGCCCTCTGATGAACAGTTTTCTCAAGCACTTGAACTAAAGGTGTGGTTTATCTCTAAGAAGGGGAGTGTGGCCTAGTGGTTAGGGTTTGTGACTCATGATCAGAGGGGAAGGGGTTTGAATCCAACTGCTGGCCACATTTTGTGTCCTCGGGCAAGCCACTTCACCCTCACTTGCCTCTCTCCACCTAGAAAATGGGTACCGGCATTAGCTAGGGAGTAACCTGGCTAGGGTTGTTGATTTTGATCAGAGGGTCAGGGGTTCAATTCCAGCTGCTGGCCATATGCTGTGTCCTTGGGCAAGCCACTTAACCTCCACTTGCCTCCCTCCACCCAGGAGTATAACTTGTTACCGGCATTAGCTGGGGAGTAACCTGCGATGGACTAGCATCCCATCCAGGGGGAGTAGAAATATTCTCAGTCGTTTCATGCCAAGGAAACCAGAGATAAATGCAGGTTTGATGGGCCATATTGGCTCGTGACAGACTTTACTTATCTCTAATAAAATCTTGAACTAAAATAGACAATTTCTAGTTTACACGTGTAGAGTGAGATTAAGATAAGAGTGAGACAAAATCAGCCTCCAGGAAAATGTATGGTGTGTTATGTGGTAGATGATTATGCTGCATCCTTTGTCACACACAGTTGACACCAGCGAGAGTGAAATATGTCAATACAACATAATCATGGTAATGTCCACCGTGCCTGATTGCCACACGTCTGCGTGATGTTTAACTCAAATTACAAATAGACTTTTGCGGTGCTGAATTATTATAATTTTGATAATTGCTTCACCGGATTAAATGATAATTATATCAACGACTCTCAAAGGATTGAAAAATTACAAATGGTCTTACTAATGGGAAAATTATTGAAAATACAATGTAGACGCGTTTAATTTTTTATGCACAATGGTAGTGCATGAATGCACGTTGTACAACACCATTGATACCAGTGTAGCAAATTTAATTTTTTTTAATCCAAAATATGAAATCTGAACAAGATAATGTTAATTTGTATCATTTTGCTATTTGTTTTTGTTTGCAGGCATTTATCAAGAACATTCACGACAATGAGGTCACAGTAGCTTTTGAAAACAAGTAAGTCGTTTTAATCGTCGACTTAGTGGGTCTGAATCATTCGAGAATTTAAAAAACCAAAATTGAACAAATGCATGAAAAAATGAAATTCAAAAATATTTACATATCTTTTAATAATGTTCATGTCATTTACGCATGTGCTTTTACAATGTATGTATACATGTGTTATTTATGTGTGTGTAACTTTGCTATATTTGTAGGGACAAATTAAAACAAAAATCCCAGACAGCTGAGCAGGATGAACAAAAGTATTTGCATACACTTCTTTGACGCTTGAACACAAGTTTTCACATTAAAATTCTTATATATATAAGATTTTAGGCTTTGCATGGTGGAGTATCAGTATCGTTTCCGTTTGCGGTAACAATATGTGATAATAACTACTGCTTAGAAGATATTTAGTTCTAAAAAGAACTTGTCCTGCTTATTATCAACTTTCGCTAAGTAGTTTTTTGTTCTGATAAGATCAGTCCTGCTTTAAGTTCTAAGAACTTGTCTTTGGTCTCAACGTTTCGACTAGCCTGCTCTAGTCATCATTAGGAGACTGTTCTTATCAGAACTAAAAACTACTTAGCGAAAGTTGATAATAAGCAGGACAAGTTCTTTTCAGAACTAAATATCTACTGAGCAGTAGTTATTACCACATGGTGTTACCGCAAACCGAAACGATATTAAAATTCTTCATATTTCACTTATTTCATCAATTACCAACCCAGACTTTTACACTTCTAATTTTCAATTGGGTCTTTGTTCTTAGTTGGTCCCCCGAGAGGCGCGTTCCCTTTGCGGACGTTCGTCTTCCCCCTCCCCCGTCTACCGATGATGTAAACGACTTGAAGGCCGGAGATGAAGTCGAGGTATGAAAACTGAAATTTTTGGTTGATTATCAGGTTGGACGTGCAGGTTGGATGTGCAGCTTTTTGCACGGCAAGGTAATGTTGCATTTCACTGGGGGATGGCTGTTGCCAAGTTCAGTTAATTCAGGCGATTCACAATGCAGTGCGCCACCAAAAGTTTGCCACGGAGAGTTCATTTTTCCCAGTGAAAATCCTGGTGAGAACGTTACGGGCTACGGGCTACCCATAAAAAAATCTAGAGCTCTAGATGTCAGACATGCAACTTTTCCTCGGATCCGCTGATTTCCTTGTTTTTTTACTTCTCATGAATGCCATTACAGATTGAAAAATACTGTACAAAGTCTTGTGTGGTATGGAGTTTCCTTGTTTTTTTTTCTAAATTCCCAGTTGCATGTCAGAGATGTGTTTGTGCCTGTAGCTCTATAAAACAAAAATAGAGCTACATGTAGCCTACATGTCACAAGTAACAAAAGTACGCACACAGTTTATGATAAGAAGTTAATGTTTAGACATTAAATTTTTCGGAGAGCGCACCCAGAGAGCACAGACCGTACAGCTTTAATTCTACGACACTTTAGCCGGAGAGAGTGCAGATTTCAAGAGGCACTGACAAACACAATTTCTGGTAATTGTTTTCGTCTGCCACTTTGGCATGCTGTAGGCGGATGGCAATTCCATGGACAAATCTGATTCTGATTTGGATCTTAATACCAGACTCGTTCTTAAATTTCCTTATTTTTTTTCTTTGCCGTCAGGTTTATTCTCGAGCCTACGAAGGCGAGCCCGGAGGATGGTGGCATGCCAAGATACAGATGATCAAAGGGGAGGTATGAGCACACACGTCATTGCTGTGGCTTAAGCATGTTTGGTAGATGAGTCCATTACAAGTCCTTCACTGGCTCGGTTAAATCGCACGACCAATTTCAAGTCGTGTTCCAAGTAACGGGATGAACAATAACAGAGGATTGTTTTTGTCACAGTTATTTGAATAGAGCCTGAGTGTTCACCCCTAGTGACGTGCTTTCGGACCTCTTGAATAGGAAAATTAACATGGGGAAGAATTTCATATATGGACCAGTGGCGCACCCAAGATTTGGTTGGGGGGGGGGGGGGCTCAACAAATTTTTTAGAATGTAAAAAATTTTCAAAAATCTTGCCCAAAACTTTTGGCCAAAAAAAAAATTGTGTTTTTTTGGTATTTGCCTTTGGATGGCGCTTCTTACACCCCTATTTTACTACTCGAAAATGGGCCACATACATATCACCAACGTCAAATTGTGGGACTAAAAATTTTTTTTTACAACTTCTTTAGGGGGGGGGGGGGGCGGCGGCTCAAGCCCCCCTTTGGTGCGTAACTGATATGGACATAACAAATTTTTCCCTGCAGCGACCTGTCAGCTATAACATATCCTAAAACGATAACATATCCTAAAACGTCAAATTTAGCAGGGAAAATATTGAAGCATTTACACTTGGAATTTTTGAGAAAATACTTGGAATTTTTTAGACCAGTCTCATAGGATTTATGCACAGGATGTCAAGTGAAGTCCACGTATGGAATTCTTTACACGACCACTGTAAGGAACATTTTTTATGTGCCCCATCATGTTCATTATACACGTAGGTTGTTTCCCATGATAGCAAAAAATAAATTGATCAAGACATAAAATTAAGGTCATTCCGATTCTTAATTTTTAAAATCGTGTTATTTAATTTTCTCAACAGTTCTACGTCTTAGAGTACATCGGATATGATGCTACTTACAATGAAATCGTCCAGCTGGATAGACTGCGCTATCCAAACAAACAGTAAGTTACCTCTCTATTAGAGTTTGTCAGGCTGAAAATTAAGTGTTTTTTTTAAACAAAACAAGCCAAGTCAAGCCGAGTAAAGCAGACCCATAAAAACCCAAAATTCTGTTCACTTGATTTTGAATGGTTATTCACTGGAAGTTTTTTCATGCATCAGTTCTGCACAATGGGCCAAATTTAGCCCATTAGGGTTAAAGCTTCAGTCCATCAATTGCAGCTATCCAAAAAGTAAATGACGAAATTATTGTTGAAAATCTTACTTGGTTTAAAGATAATGCTGGCACTAAATTCCTTGTGATTTTTTGTTTCTGGCAAGCTGTAAGTTAGAAGAAAACAATGAAAGAAGGCCATTTCTAAAGGGGAAGCGTCTAAAGACGCAGCGTTGGAAACTTCCATTAGTAGTTCGTTTTCAATTCGGCGAAGCGCGCGCAAGCGTTGACATGATGCATATGCGCGCGGCTGCTATAATTCGTCGGTTCAGTGCGCGACATCACGTAGCTGCAATCGGCTCAGCGAGAACACATCTCGGATGCTGAATTCGGGCCTAATTCAAAATATTACTCGACATTTTTTTATTTGAAATCGAGATCCTAGAATATTGTTTTCTTGGAATATACAGCATTCACAAGTTAAAACTTTATTTGGTTAGTTAAGCACCCTTCATTAGATTTTGAGTGCTTTTGTTGCTTCAAACAAACATAATGCACAAATTACAAATGATGCACTCTTCCCCAAATTGGGGTTAGGAGATAATCCTGTAATGAGCACTGCATGGCCCTCTTCACAAGTAACAGTAGGGTCAGTCAGTCAGTGAGATAGGTATAAGAGGACACTAGGCTATTTGTTCTTCGTTTTCTTAGTCCAATTCAGGGACTTAAAGTCCTTACTGCATGTCCTAGTCATATATCTTTAACTCTTGTAAGCCAGTTCCTTAACTGAGTATTAACCCTTACTCCCTAGGGGGTGTGCAAAATCGTATTAAAATTGGAGGATTCAGGACAGATTTGATGGAAAAGTTTCGCTATGCTTGGTATCTACATGTAGTTTGATACAGGGTAATAACAATTCCGTTTTTTTTTTGGTAACAGGCCAAGCTTGAGTGCAGACACCTTTCACAAGGTGGCCATCTCAGTACCAGCAGACATCAGAGAATAGTAAGTCTGTTTATAGTATGGGACTAAAAATAATCTCATTCATAAAAAAATTTGGAAAAATGTATCTCTAACGGGGTGTAAAATGGGCAACCAAAGTGCACTGTGTATAGGTTGGAGAAAAAGATGAAATCATAGATGTTCAATTTTGGCATTTTTCACTGGTGATACTTAGACGAATCCAGGCACTTTACACTCACGTGGCCCCCATCAATGGCGAAAGCATTGTGCTAGCTATTTTACAAGGCAATTGCCCCATGACGGATTATCTGAACAATAGCTAGCACCATGCTTTCGCCATGAAAGGGGGCCTCTGTGATAGAATTCACAGTGTGCCCGAGTTGGTATGTAGCTTTGGGAGGATTCTCTTAATGAATTCATGCCCATTTAAACCCTAACATTTCCAAATCCTCAAAATTCCTGTTTGCAAAATGGAGGATTTTGCAGGATTGAGGCTATATGGCAAAAACATGTGACAGATTTTGGAGGATGCACTATGTCAAAGTCTTGGGCCGGACCTGGTGTTGTTTATGCTCAGCCATTCATAAATTTAAGCCTAGATCATGCTTGAAATCCTCCACACTGCTCCAGGATGTCACTGGCTCTGCCTCAGCATATTGACAGTGATTGCTGGAGGATTTTGCTGGATTGAGGCAGTGGTCACCCCTCCAAGGACCACATTAAAAAAATAACATGAATATCGGAATATTTCGGAGCATGGAGGCTGTATGCACTTTTTACATGGAGGCAGTTGGAGGATTTTGCAGGATTGAGGTTGCATCCTAGCAAAAATTCCTAAGTAGTTAGGTTCAAATTTTACTAACTTAAGGTATTTCATTGATGCATTCTCCGCAGTGCCAAGGACCCGAAGCATCACCAAGACTTTCTCAAGTCCACTGGGGCGATAGCCATCGTCTACGATGAGGACATCGAATCGCTGCTCGTCTTCGTAAGTAGATCACATTGTGGAATTATGGACAAATTTAGTTTTGGGAAATACTTCGCGAAAAGTTTGCTAAGCAGTCACTAAAGTAAATTGTTATATCGTGTCCTTGGATACTGTAATTTCATTGGTATAGGACGGCCACATGGCTAGACAATAAAAATGCATTTCACACAATGAGGGTGATATCGCACTGCGTATTGCGCGCGTTGCGCACGCATGTGGAACCTGCCGTGTGGAACCACGTTTTTCCTTTTTATCCCCCAGGCTTTCAAGCCAGACAGGGGGATATTGCGATCGCGTTTTACTTCTGTGTGTCCGTGTGTGTGGGTGTGTGTGTTCCATGTCACTGTAAAGTTCAGTCGTCAATCTCAACCAAACATGAAAGGTGGTCTGTGGAGAGAAGGCTGATGTCCAAAAAAGCCTTTCCAATATGGGTATTTATGAGGTCTCTGGAGAGATACTAATGACTCTAACATATGTTAGTCCGGTGCCTCACCGAAACTCCCCATTCAACCCAAATTCCCCATTCAACTGAGAACTGTTACCTGCCGGGTGAACAATCAAGGCCGTCTCTGAAAAGTGTCCTAACTGCCAGGATGCCAGGGGGATCGCACAAATTTTACTTGCAGTATTTTTTGTCTTCTCACAGGGCACGTCAGCGTCCCTGATGCGGCGGGCTGAGCTCCTCAGCGATATGCACTTCCGCAGCATCCGTGAGAAGATGCTGATGATGGGCCGGGCTGAGGAGGCCGCCCAGCAGCTGGAATCCACCCGCAACCAGCTGGAAGGCTGTCTGGAGGAGTTCAGCGTCAGTGAGGACCTGATGGGATTGGCCATCGGGGCCCACGGGGCCAACATCCAGGCCGCCCGACGGATCGTAGGGGTCCGACGCATCGATCTGGACGAGGATACCTGTACCTTTAGGATATACGGAGAGGTCAGTTTGCGTTTATTATCTTCTTTTGTAGAGTAAAGTGTCTCTTATTAAGTGTCCCATAGTCCCTCAGAGTTTACGGTGCTTGTGTTCTTGGGCAAGACACTTTACTAAAAGAGTTTAAGCCTGTTTGTTTTCGTGGGCAAGACATTTTACTAAGAGTTCATGGTGCTTGTGTTTTTGGGCGAGACACTTTACTAAGAGTTTGAGTGTTTTTGTTTTTGTGGGTAAGACATTTTACTAAGAGTTCATGGTGCTTGTGTTCTTGGGCAAGACACTTTACTGAGAGTTCATCATGCTTGTGCTCTTAGGCAAGACGCTTTACTAAGAGTTCATGATGCCTGTACTCTTGGGTAAAACACTTTACAAAGAATTCATGGTCCTTGTGCTCTTGGGCAAGACAATTTATTAAAATTTTGAAGTATCACATCATTTAAAACTTAGGTTGAATGAATTTTAAAAATGAAATCCCAATCAGGGATAATGATTAAAAGCTCCTTATTTTTTGTTGGCGGTTTTTACAGCTGGATGCTATACGGCAAGCCCGCAGTATGTTAGAATTTGGGGAGGAAGTTTGCGAGGTGCCCAGGAGTGTTATAGGTAAGTCAATGGACCTAAGACATTATGACATCACGTTTTGTTCACACGGGGGCTTTTATATTGGAGCCAGTTTAGGACGCCATCCATTTGTGATGTTGCTAATTTATACATTTCTTACCTCATGCAGGCAAGGTCATCGGCAAAAATGGGCGGGTCATCCAGGAGATAGTGGACAAGTCCGGCGTGGTCCGGGTGAAGATCAAGGGGGACAACGAGCGGGAAACCGCCACGGACAACAACCTGGTACCGTTCATGTTTGTGGGTACGAAAGAGAACATCGTCAACGCCCGCGTATTCCTGGAGTATCATCTGGCTCACTTGAAGGTTAGTCCGTGGAAGAAGTTTGAACAACTATTGACAATCTACAATCCTGGCCAAATCTCGCCTGGCTCCTGGCCCCTGTCGGTGTTGTCTCTCGTTGCGTGGTGTGTGCTCCGTCAGCTGGAGAGAACATTATTGAGCGGGGGAGTGGGTGACCGTGGGAGGCTTAGGTTATTTCCAAGTGTCCCAACCATTTTGGCCGGGATTGTAGGTCCTTTTCTCACAAGAAAACACTGCAGAAAAATCGTCTTCCTTTTAAGTTTTAAAGGATTGTTCGTTCTTGGTTGATAAAGCAGTATTGCTCTTCATATTTTTGGCCTCTTGCATTCTTGACAACTTGTATTTTCAATTGAAAAGGTATTTAAAATCAGTTGTATTTTAACATTCTAGATCCTATTTGCAGATGAACATTATAGTTTGTTGCATATTAAATACTGTGAATGGAAAAGCTGTCTTCAACATTTTTAATTTGGAAATGACTCGTGAATGAATTTAATGCAAATGATGCAAAATAAATAACCAGGAACATTATGAATGTAATATTTGCGAACAATAACGATACTATTAACATTTTGTGAATGGTAATGAATAATAATGAATATAAAAAAATTCGGAAGAGTATAATTGTTGTACTCATGAATATTCAGGATACTTTAGTCTTAAGGATATGGAAGAACTGCGCATCATATGGCTTCAAATGGACATCAGTGGTTCAAGTTTGGATAAATATTGTAATTTGAATTAATATGAATATGAATGATTGAACATTATGATTGCAATGCTCATGAATATTCATGATGAATATTCATTATTCAGGACATGGAAGAGTTGCGCATTCAACGCCTTCAGATTGACCAGCAGCTGCGTAACTTCAGCGGGGGCTATGTCCCCGGCGCTTACTTCCCCCCGCCTAGGGACCGCAACGATAGGGGCTATGGCTCGGACTTATCGGAGGACAGTGGGGGTGGGCGGGGCCGCAGGGGGCGTGGCCGGGGTAGAGGAGGAGCCAGAGGGGGCAGTAGGGGTGGGCCAAGAGGGGGCCTGAACAGTTCAGGTAAGGACCATCTTTTTCTCACCTCAATTTTTAATTTCAAACCCTGCGCCTTGCTATCATTTTTTTAACCCACGATCACACAGTTGTAGTTTACAGGCATGCAATTTTTCCTCGGATCAGCTGATTTCCTCTTTTTTTTACTTCCCATGTGTGCCATTGAAAATAGAAAAACTCTGTACAAAGTCTGGAAAAAAAATTTGAATTTCCTCTTTTTTTGGTGATTTCCCAGTTGCATGCCTGAGTTTACAGTACACCCTGATTAGGGTCCAAATAAAACGCAATTATTTTCTGTCTATCAAAATTAGGTCGTAATAGACACGACGGCAAACTTGAGCGTGCTGAGTAGTCTTGCTGACAGGATGATTGATTTTCCATGCCCCGTGGCGAGGCTGGCTAGACCCACTATAAGGAATGTATTACATAACATGCGGTTCTTGTCAGAGGGCTTGGTGTTTGGCTAGGATTTTCAGGGTCAATCATTCAAGCTCCTTTAAAGGTGCACTCGCAATGTAATTTGGCTGTGTTTAAATGAGAAACTTGTGGAATATGAAATAATTTTTGGATTGAACGTTTTCGGAATACATAAAAAAATTATGGAAAACGGACTTAATTTTAGAGCATGATCTCACAGCGGAGAGTACAATGTGGCTTAATGTTGTATTTCAGAATCACTTACAATTTGCCGGTTCACACTTTTTTTCTTCAGGGCGGGGTCGCAGCCCCTCAGATCAGGACATGGCGTCGGGCGAGGACGGGGCGCGGTCCAGCGACTGGGCGGAGCAGGTCCTGCAGGATGACAAGGACCGTCGGCGGGAGGGCGGGACCTACACTTCAAGAAGTGGAGCCTCAAGAGGCGGATCCTCAAGGGGGGGATCCTCAAGGGGCGGGGCCTCGAGGGGTGGGTATCCACCCAGAGGCGGGGCCTCCAACAGAGGGCGGGGCAGGTCAACACAGGGTCGCGGCCGAGGCAGAGGGGGCTACGGTGAGTTGTCACGCACATCTTTCAGTCTAACACCAAGCAATGGTATCATGAATTCTCAACAACAACAAATATGAGATCCGACTGGTTACATTTGGGCAAATACAAAATAGTTACCCGCACCAAAAAGTGACTTTCTTTTTTGTGTGGAGTAAATTTTAAAATCACTTTTGAATGACAGATGGGCCTCGCAATGGTACACCCCCCTCGGAGACGGATGAGGATAGTTACCGTGACAACCGTCGCCGTCGGAACGACGAGGAAGAGACACTCTTGGAAGACACGACGGTTGACGATGACACCAATAACACAGAGAAGGAAGGTGAGTGAAAAGACAGACCCCCTCCCTACACTCAGGCAGATCTAGGCAGAGCTGACAAAAACGTTAAACATCCAGAATATGTTGGGATGATACTTAAGTGCCCATTGGTCATTTCTGCCACGGTTTTTTTTTCTTTTGGGGAGGGGGATTTATGAGTGTGAAATCTATAAAATATTGCCAGTCTCAGAATCTAATTGCGGAACATTGTATTCTAAATTAGTTTATTTTTTCAATCTTTAAATTTGATGCATTTGACCATTGAATGTAGATTGCGGTCAAAGTGTCGTCCAATGCCTTTGTGCACCTCTTTCCAGCATTTTGCCAATGTGTGCCAGATAAATTAGTCTACATGTATATGGGGACTTTTGTTGCCCCCCCCCCCCCACTATAACTCCTCAGGGTTTTGAAAGAAAAATAATTCACATCTTTCATTCAGATGATGGGAGAAGAAACAAGCGTCGGCCCCGTAGACGCAAGAACAGAGGCCGGGGAGGCAGTGAAAACGGCGACGGTTTCCACGAGAGCTACGCCGACGATACCGACAATAGCAAAGCCAGCTCTCCGATGCCCAGAAGGCGTTTTGGGGGCAGCCAGCGGGGCGCCAGCAACGCACAGGGTAGGGGCACCGGCGGAGCGGGCGACGCGTCCGAACGACGCGAAGGCGCGTCCGAGCGACGCGAAGTCAACGGCGATAGTAGCGGTAAACCGGCAAATGCTAGCAACAGCTCGACAACGAGGGCGCCGTCATCAAACGGACCCAAGGAGCAGCGGGACGCGAGGGGGCCGAGAAATCGTCGGCCCCCGCCGGGGAACCAGACCCGGCCGACGGCGAAATCCGGCAGCGACGATGCAACTCAAAGTAAAGGCGCGGCCGCCACCAAGTCTGCCCCTCCTCCCCCTCCTCCTCCTGCTGAAAGTAAGGAGTCCCCCCAGCTGGTCAATGGTAGGGCCTGAACTTTCACCTTTGTGTGGCGCGATGATGCACTCAAAGGTTCACTGGCCGATACCACTATCACAAAACCGGGGGAGATATGCCATGTAACTTAAAATGAGAGGGTGTGTTAAATAATTAGTGTGTGTGTTCAAAACTTTCGATAAAGAAAGACTAAAGAAAAAAATAACCTGCCTTATCGTACTGGCCAAAGTAATTTAAATGTTCTTTGGGGCAAGCATGAACAAAATATGCTGTAATCCTTTAAAGTTTCACTTGTTTCAAGTACAAAAATTTAAAGGCTTTAAAAAATTAAATTGAAATCTAGGATTTAAAATAGTTGACAATTAAACTCTTATCCCTAGCATGCTGAATTCCCTTTTTTTTACCACTTTCAAAAAAAAAAGATATAAATTACAAAAAAAAACACCGCTGTAGCCCTCTCTTTCACCAAAGAAATGTAAAGTTTTAGTTCAATTATTTAAATGTGAAACATTCACATAGAGTCCTGTAGCTAGCGCCTTTTCTGTTTGCTTAGCTAATAAGACAGTGCAATACCTCGATAGTATGGTGAAGTGTCTTACGTTAATATTTCCCCCTTTATTTGGCCAGGGGTTGCATTATTTAGGATTACGCATCTTGGAAAATGATTTCAAAAAGCTGTGATAAATTTAGTGATCTTAATACTTAAAAAATGTCAGACTTTTATTGCTCAAACTGTACACCAGTTTCACGAACGTTAGTGTTGCCTGTCGACAGAGGGCGCTGTTTGTTGTCAACAGAGGGCGCTTTAAAACACCTGATCTCCAAATCCTTAGAGTGCTCTCATGTAAAAAAAAAAATGTGAGAAACGGTGGGTAAAAAGAAAACAAATAGCCCTCTGTAGTTTTGCAGTTTGAAACACTGAAGGCTTTGCTTGTATTAAGCTTGTAAAAAATGCATTTATAAAGCACTTTGCACTACGAGACTTTTTCAGTATGAAGTCAGAAATGAGACAATTGGGGGAAAAACTGTAAAAATTAATAGAAAATTGAAAATAACTTCACAAATTCTTTGTATCACTCGGCAACTTTATTTTTCTGTTGATACAGACTTTTTTTTTTAATTGTTAAAAAATTCACGTTTGTCTTTTCGATAAAATAACCAATGTATAAAATAGACAACTGTATCTCTCAATGTAATAAAGTACAGAAAGGAATGTTTCTTGTAACTGCTACAAGTGTGGAATGCACTTAAGATAATAAAAAAAATACAAAAGAACAACAAAAAAATTGGGAAAAAAAGCATAATGAACCATTGTTATAACAATAACTAGCTATGAAAAAAAGACAACGAAAAACGGAGCCTGTGATGACTGCAATATATTTCTCATCTCAGTTTTCCGTACCATCATTCATAATCAGTACTTTGTTTATTTTTATTGTAATTGACAATACTTTAAGTTGTTCAAAAACTCAGTACAGCCCCACAAAAAAAATGGAAAAAAAATACACTTCACTTTCTTCAGTACCAACAAAATTGAAATGCATTTGAAAAAAAAAAAAATGCAAGCTTGATTTTTCCCTTAATTTTCCGTAGGAAATCTTGATATTTTGAACTCATCGTCGTACAGTTTTTTTCCACTTGTTCTTTGTAAGTGTCTTAAAATGAGTATTTATCCGAGTATGAAAAAAAAAAAAGACTTGCAATTTAAACAAATACCGTGTGTGTACAGTTGTATATAGTCTGCTACTGGGGTTCCTATCCAGTGCATGTACCTTAAAAAGATTTAACTATGCAAGCATTTTCATCGTTCCTTTTCCCTGTCGAGTTTGAAAAAAAAATAGAAATCGTAGTTTAAAAGAAATCAAAGTTAGCCTTTTTCTTGGTCCAGTACTGGATATGGTAGTTTTTTTAGCATTCGAGGGTAGCGTACAGAGCAGATAAGTGAGTAAAAATGCATCGTAAACTTAGACGTGCGTAGATGAGGCACAGTTCTTATTGGGGGCGGGGCTATCCATGCAAATGAGTTACTGGTCTGGCCCTGCCCCTTTTTTTCGTTTAGTAGTGGCCAGGGGGAAAAAACTGAAAATATCTCTAATTTTCAAAAAAGTATTGAGATTTAGGATCTTGATCTGCTATTAGCCCAATTTTTTTTGGCGAGATTTTTGCCTTTTTCAGTACTGTAGATCCAAGTCTCTAGTACTCATCGTGGGACCCGAAGTTCCTATTTTTACAGATAAGAATTGGTCGTTGGTTTTAGCGAACGGTGTGAAAATATTTTTGAGTAGTCTGGAAGCCTCCTGGCAGAATGCCAAGGAGTTACGGTTAATAGCTTGCATTCCCCCTCCCCCTACCCCCACCTCTCTCACCCCACCTACCTGCCCCCACCCCACCCCCCACCCCATACAAGGTCACAAACTGTGCCAAAACAATCAATATCTGGGGAAACTAATTGTGTGAGATACCCCCCCCCCCCCCAAATTTGACAACAGTTTGTGTTTCTTGGTCAAGGACGACCTGTGATGATATTTGTAAAAGTTGTCTGGGGAGAATAATTTAAAAAGTACTATTCCCATAGTGTTAACAACTAGTTTACGTGTATACATTTCATCAACATGGTTACCCCATTCACAGACATATAGACGGGAGAGTTTTAAAAGAGGTTCATATATTCATATCTACAGGTGTGACGTAACTGTAGTAACAATTTCGTCCTCTAGACTGATTTTGTGTGATCTGCTCACACGCTGTGGTTTCATTTTGTGGGAGGAAGAAAAAAGTCCTAATTTTCGTGGTACTCAAAAATACATCCAGCAGCCATTTATCAAGGTTTTTGTCTTCTTTTTTATTTTTAAATCAGTACTTTCACAGAAAAACAAGTGTCTTTTAGTACAAGTAAATGGCAAGGATGTTTTGGAATTTCCCATCTGAAATGATTAGGTTTCATGTGCTGGGAATGTATTGGACACATTTTTCTTTTGTTTAAAAAAAGTACTTGTAATGAGCTGCAGATTTATATACACGTTTGGCTTAGCACACTGTAAAAAAAAAAACACTAACAAAAATTATTAAATGAACTCTCGACAAAAAAGAAAAATCCAAGGATTTTTGTGTGTGGTATCAGTGCGTTGTAAAGAAGTGATATGTCTTTGTATTCAACTTGTTTTTGTTTCTGTTCGGTTTTGACGATTTTTTTTTTTAGTTTGTGCAGAAGTTTAATTAATTGTGTTTGTACAGGTTCCAAAGTTAGGGTAGTACTTGGATTATTTATATTAAAACAAAGAAGAATATTGCTTCATTGTTTTGAAGGAAACCTCTTAATTAGTTGTAGGCAGCAAATACTTGGATCCAGAACGAAAAAATACATGTACTGTACGTTATTTTGAGGTTTTGCGTAAGTGTTGACAAAAGATTTACTTTCGTTTTCTATTTGTAAGCATAATTTCTAAGAAACTTGTAAACCTTAATTTTTTTCCAGTTCATTTTTGGTTTTGCATCTGTAAAATACCTGAACTTAATACTGTAAATACCGAAACATTGTAGCACAAGTTAAGTACAATTTAGGGGTTATTTTGTTCAAAAGGTTGCATATTTGGTAGACTTAATTCTTAAGCCGAAGTCAACATTTTGCATGCCAAATGTACAATGTATTCAGCATCTTGTAAATACAAAACAGAAAAAAAAAAGAACAGTTAAAAAAAAAAGCAATATTTCGTTGTCGGTCACAGAGGTGGTTGTTGCCATTGTTAAAGACAATTTCAGTTTTGTTTATGTTTTTTGTTTGATTGATATAATTCAATGTTACAATTTTACTAAATTTTCTGACTTCCTCTTTCCAGCTGTAGTTAATAATGTACCAATTTAAAATGAGGAATTAGTCCGGCTGCTTGAGAACTTGCTTGTGTCTACAAATTGGACGGATGATTTTTGTTGTGTCAAGGATGATTTTCATATTTTTGATTTTTCTGTAAAACTGTACTCTTGGTAAAACCTGTACTATTCGTATGCAGAACTCTGTCCAGTTTCTTCCCATTTCTAAAGCCTGGGTTCATTGCAGCTTTGGCTACGGACACGAGTTTCACGTTTTGTGACCCCATTTTAGAGATTTCGCGTAATTTAAAGGGAAAAAAGTATAAGCTGAATTGTTGCGGTCGTTTATGCCGACTCCCCTATTGTTTGCTGCATATCAAGTTTTTACATTTTTTTTCCCAGATCGTAAAATTTGTCTAACAAGTACAAGAAACAAGATTGATTGTATTTGAGTTTTCGGTGCAAGAGAACGTAAAACTTGCTTGCCTGATATCTGTGATTTGACAATGATACGGTTGACTGTTGCCGTTTCCTGTATTTCTTGAGTTTTAAAACAGTTGTGCAAAATGCGTTTCAAGGGAAAGGTGACGATGTCTCGAAGAGAATTTTGATTTTTGTTTGTGATTTTTAGAATAGGAGAGTAGATGAAAATGAAACCTTATTGACTATTGATAGGGCGCCATTATTTCCTGTAGGTGTTCTTAAACAAATTAATAAAAAAAAAATGGGCAACAGAGATAAATGCGTTTTAAGGTTTGTTGCATTTATTCAAGTTCTGGTGTTTTTTGAAACCATAATTCAATGAAATTAATTGAGTAAAATGATACATTTTTTTAAAGCTTAAATTTGTAAGTTGCAAGCAAATAGATTACAATGTCAAAACATTACATTCAAAACATCAATATTTATGCTTCAATGTTAATACAATTAAACAAAAAATGTTTTAAATTGAAAAAAGTGTGTAAATTCAAAATCGTAACTTCTGCTAGCAAAAATTTCAACTGCTATAGCACATGAAATATTAATTTTATATCAATTCAAAATTATGGCAAGATTAAAAAAAAAAAACACCATTTAAAAAAAAAGACAAGTCACCACCGCTTTTAGACATAGCCTCTCTTGAATAAGACAAAACTTTGTGCTGCTTAAAGCATTTTTGCTTTAATCAAAAAGCCAAAAATTAAGCTAAATATCCTCCAATATGGCAACAAACAAATATCACATTAATATTATGCTGTTGAGTTAAGCACATTTTAAACAAGAAATTGCTTGCTTACATCACAAGAGGGCGCTGTTTTACATAACCAACCAATACAATAGATGCATTGTTCAATACCTCAGGTACATCCCAAATTAATAATCCACAAAATGCAGACGATTGAAATTTCCAAAAATCAACAGAAATGTGACCTTAGATGTCGCCCAATATTTTGGAATGATTGATTATTGATAACTATTGGCAAACTTAAGCAATTATAATTTTCGGGCTAATAATGTTTTTTTTGTGTTTGGAAATAAATATATATCTGTGTCCAATAGTAGTACAATATATACAGATTTTATTTTACAAAAGTACAAAACAAATCACAATTTCTCCAGTTCAATAGCAAGAGTCAGTACTGCAACTATAAAACGAGTTTCTTTTTTTTTTTTAACTGTTAAACTTATATGCAAATTAGTTGAAATTTTGGCCAAAGTTATCAAAATGGGCAAGCCTTAATACAAGAAAGACTTCACATTTTAAAAACCTGTTTTTGGTGATTTGTTTTTTTAAAGAAGTTCTATAAAATTGGCATTTCTAAATCAACACGTGTGGTTTATTTAATTGTACTCCCAAAAAGCTCATCTACCTTTCAAGATATTTTCCAATGCTCAGAACTTCTTTTAATCTGAATTATTTACTGGTTTGGACTTTTCTTATTCCTTCATCAGCGAAATCTCAAAACTAGAGGTAAATTACCCATCTTTAGAAAAGTCGGATTTAGTTGGTGAACTGTAGTAATTGTGTTTCACAGAAAACCTTACAAATATAGGTGCATTTAACCAACATATAAAATACTGGCGTTTAAACATAGTTTTATGCTGGTTATATGGTTAAATGGTACATACATGTATAATTGCACTATATTTTCTTACATCCGAAGCCAAACAAAAATTGAAAAAATATTTCTAGGGCTGCGCATCGGAACCGGGTACCCAAGTACCCGACCGCTAATGTCAGGAACCGGTTCCAGATTATGGGATCGAGTACCTGTAACCAACTTTACAAATTACTTGGTAACTTCTCAGACAATGAAAAGGAAAGGTTTTGAATGTTATTTGTGGGGAATTTTCAAAAATGAAAACCAGGCTACATGGAAAAGCAAAACAGATTCACGTTTATAACGCTTTCGAAAATGCAATTTACACCGTAAAGCTGTATTGAGCTCATTGTACAGTGTACACACTTGTATCTAGCTGTCTTGACGCACAGATGTGGTAGTATTATCGTGCGGACCGTCATGAACAATCTGTACAGCAACTTCCGAGATTTAAATTTTGGGGTTGGGTTTCTTTAACGGGTACCCAGTACCCATTTTTTTTTTTAAAACGGGTACCCAGTACCCATTTTTTTTAAACGGGTACCCAGTACCCATTTTTTTAAGACGGGTACCCAGTACCCATTTTTAAAAATGGGTACCCAGTACCCGTTTTTTTTTAACGGGTACCCAGTACCCATTTTTTTAAACGGGTACCCAGTACCCGTTTTTTAAAAAACGGGTACCCAATTCCCGTACTACCCGTAAATGCACAGCCCTACAGATTTCATCTCAGTCGTTGGGGAAAAAAATCCGCATATGTAACTTTAAACTTTGGGAAAAAAAATGTTGGTTCATTTTTCTCCTACTTTTCTTTCCTTGCGACTTTGTCTAAAGTTATATTCCCGAATAAATCCCAATAGCATTACACTCCAAAACCTACAAACTATTGACCATAGACTAGTACTGAGTATAGAAGTAATTGTACATCAAAAACATCAAAAACATGAAATCACAGAATTTGGTAAATATTTGGTTTTTACTCTGAAACTTAATCAACTCTTTCCTTTAGTGAGGTTTTAACCATAATAGTACCCCAACTCCAAAATCTACAAATTTTCTTTCAGAAATTTGAGAATGATCTCTGAAAACCACCAAATTTTTATCAGCAATATAATTACAGCCATAGAGTTGTGCCATTCTTCATTCTTAAAAAAACTTTGTGTGACCATTTTGGACTGATGCAATTATAGTATCCGAGAGTTGTCACTGGACAGTTTTCAAGTCAAAGTTGGGGAAAGTCAAATGTGATTAGAAAGGTAATGTCATCCCAATGCTTATTTTTCTAATTTTGGTAAAAAAAATTAATTGCTTGAAACTTGCAGGGAAGATGCCCAAAGAGCCCTAGAACACAATCCAAGTCGACTTCTGGACAGATGTGATATTCCAAAGTAAAAGTTGTGTCGAAATTGTTTGTGTAAAATCAGTCTTAAAAAAATGTTACTATTTCCCCTCAAAAATCAATGAATTTTTTGTCCAACTCTTCAAAATGTTGGGTGTTTGAGTATTGATGCTCCTTTTACATCCAGACGAATTCTGAATTAATTGGAGAAAATTATTTTTTTGGAGCCAAATTTGATTAAAAATTTACCCTTGCGTTGTTTTCAATTTTGGCCCAAAAATGATATTGCTTGAAACTTGCAGGGAAGATGCCTAAAGGGCCTGAAAAAAAAAAAAATCCAAATCGACTTAATACTTTTACTTGGATTGTAACCTGCCTTGTGATTGACTTGTGACCGACTTGATTTTAACTCACCAGCATGCAAGGCACGATAGAACGAAACCTCTTCACTTAAAAAAAAAAAGTAGATAAGAAACAAGGAATGAATTCATATGCATTTTTTGTGTCTTTTGCACTTGAGAATTCAAGACGTTTTGTTGCAGAGTAAGATACATAAATGTAACTCGGGTGAAATCGGCTGTCCACAAAAAAAAGTACCTTTTGTTTTTATTTGGTCTCGCTTGTTTGGCACTCGGTTCGCAGCTTCTCAATAGTGGCCCTGCCTAGGGGCTGTGAGTCCAAAAACACATTCTGATGAAAAAAAGAAGAGAAAACAGGAAAAAGAATGAATTGTAATTTTCTTCGCAAATCCAGCCATCTGAAAATTGGTTATATTCAAAATGGATTGATTCCGTCCCCCGAAGGTGATATATTTCAAAATTTTGATTCCCGATAGAAATAAAATCATTTAAAAGTTTTACAGTGAAATTTGCAACTCACGGGGTCAATAAATGCTTTAGACCTCAAGACAAAGATATTAAAGACAAATTAGGTCTAGGTCCGAAGTTGGGCCTTGGTCCGAAGTTGGGCCTTGGTCCGAAGTTGGGCTGTGTGTCTAAAGTTAGGTCTGGGTCTGAAGTTCACTCTTGGTCTGAAGCTGGGCCTTAGGTCCAAAGTTGGGCCTTAGATCCGGAGTAAGGACTTAAGTCCGAAGTTGGACCTTGGTCCAAAGTTGGGACTGGGTCCAAAACTAGACCTTGACCAAAGTTGTGCATTGGTCCATAATCTGGCAGATGTACAAAGTTGGGCCTTGGTCTGAAGTTGGGCCCCTTGCCTCACCTTCATGAAGCTGTGGCAATCTGTGTTCCTAGAGTGCAGCGTGACCTTCTTGAACGACTCCACCAGTGTGGGGAAGTTGCTGGCCGACAAGATGACGTCTTGGTTCTGCTTGATCAAGCTCAGGCAGACCCTGAAGAGAATCTTGGAGCCTTCGTAGAACATGCAGTCCCAGATCCGCAAGACTGTCTGTCAACGAAAAAAAAGAAGGACCCAGCTTTTCTTAAATCAATCAAAACTCTGATGGTCTGGAGTTTTGTCACCAGTAGAATCAATAAGCAATTACCTCAATGGGAAGGACGTCAAGGAACAGACAGATGAACCATTTGGTGGTCGGTATTGACCAGGGGACTGACTCCCTCTCCATCCGCTGGCTGACCTCTGGGAGCTTCTGCTTGACCAGCTCGCCTAGGACCTCCTGGTCAGTCTTCAGGCCGGTCATCTGTCGGGTGTAGTAGGCTGAAATGGGGTAAAATAGGTCAAGGATTGTTAAAAAAAATACAGCACTCTTGCTAAATTAAGGGCAAGACTATAACTCTACTCTGTCAACTGATAGATGGCATGGGTGGCGAAGTGCGTAAAGCACTTGCCTCTCACCAATGTGGCCCAGGTTCGATTCCCGGTTCTGGTCTTATGAGTAGGTTGTTCGTTGATTCTCTCCTGTGCCATGAGAGTTTTTCTCTGGGTTCTCCGGTTTTCCTCCCTCAGCAATAAATCAACACTTTCGATCTGGCTGTGCTCCGTGGTAAGACATGGCGGCTGCCTAAGGCGCCTTTACATGCTTTCGGCTCGACCACGTTGTAGCTGCGTCCTCCGCAGTCCTAAAACTAACTGTCCTACGAGCCACGTTTGGTCTCTTGATTTTGTGAAGTGGCCTACCTGGCAAGATTCTTTTAACGAGGGTCTCCAGCAGGAAGAAGCAACTCTCCTCGTCCCGGACGATCAGCAGCATCAGGGCCACGATGAAGTTGAGTCCCTGGCAATAGCCGTCCGTCCGGTGGTTGTGGGCGAACGCCACCAGCACGTTCTGCAGCGACGACCGTTTGCTGACTGTCGAGTCGTTGCAGAAGTAGATGTTCTCTGGGAAGGTTCGGTGGAGATCTGTCACACGAATTGTACGGACAACATTTTAGGAGAATGTGTTTTCTAATAGTTTTACAGTCAGTCAGGTCGTGGCCGGGAGAGTTCCTCCAGCAACACGGGCCAAATGGTTTAACACTAACCCTAACCCGGCCAGATGCAACACAGTGCATCAGGTGTAAACGTCTGTGGGACCTTGTTGCGTTGGGCCATCAACACCAGTGCATAAACTGCCAATTCTGAAACAACGAGAGCTAGTCCCATTAAACAATGCCACAGTTGTATCCTGCTGCATTCGGCGACCAGGGACTCTGAGGCAGTTTGGCCTTGAGACTTTTGACCTGATGGATCTTGCTGCACTGGGCAGGCTTGTCATTTTGACAAGTGTCACATGTTGCTGTGTTCTGCAGGGTTCCTAGCCAAAATATCCTAAGGGGTTAGGGCTAATAAACTATTGTAAACCTCACCTTATTTAAGTTAATGCTTATGCGTGAGGTATGCTCAGAATGTCTCTGCTCCAGCTGGCAAACTTCCCAAGATAGCACCCTCTACCGCTGATGCAGCTAAGCCATCTCCAAGTGTAAAAAAATTCCAGTCTTGAGCAAAGACTACAACACTGATAATGACCCACCTGTCTTAATGACCTCCAACAGCTCGTCGTCTTTTGGACCGTCCAGTAGTCTCTGATACAAGCCTGGGTTGTCTGCTTTCATGTTCTCGGCTCCGCTGACGTACATCCACACCGCCCCGCGATACTCGTTGGAGATTCCCTTCCGAATGTATCTTTTAACTGTAGTGAGGTACATTTAAACAGTTAATTTTTTAATTGCTGTTTTTCTGGCACTACAAAATTTCTTCCATTTTTGAAGGAAACTACAAACGGAAAAAAAAATATTGGAATTTAGTTACAGAATAGTTACCTTCCAGATATCAACTTATCTGCAGCCCAAGAATATCAATCAACAATATCAATCGACTGATCGCTGGAAATCACCTACAGTACTTGTTTTCTTCTAAATGACTGCAAGCAGACTGAATAATGTCACGTTTGTTTAGTATCAGTATGATCCTTTAACTCCCCAGCATAATTTACTAGGAACCATACCCATTCTGGCAAATTCCAACACCCACGTGGGAAATCGTCCACACACACTGTTGGACTTAGTTTGTGGAGGTGTGCCAACCCCAGTGTAAAAGACCATCAGTTTAGGGGTACTGTACCTATCCCAACAGATTTAAACCAAACCTGCTGTTGAACTTTGATGGGTTGAGTTCGGTTAGGGTTAATCCAAATGAAGTCTTTGATAATAATTTGGAATAAATTCAAATAATCATATGTGCCTTTAAAATCAGTAGATAAGTGCCTGTCTCAAGTCATATCCGGGATGAGTTCCGGACAAGTTGTGGACATTGTAGCGAGTATAAGCAGCAGGATTCTGAACAACTTCCCTGCAATCTTCCCGCGATGAAGTTATCAGTATTGGTGATACAAGCAATTTCAAAAGAAAATTCCCAAAACAAGTCCGGGAAAAATGCAGAGTTTCTTTTGGACAAAGTGAATGTTTCTACCCGCAACTTGTCTGGAACTCGTCCCGGATATAAATTGAGGCGGGCCTTCAGCTTGGCAATGAAGGAAGTTTACGTGCAAGGGTTTTACAATTTTTTCAAGTTGTTGATGTCCGTACCTTTAGTTGTCTTTTTGACCTTTTTCTTGCCGTCCATGGCCTTGTTCCATTTGCCCGCCCTACGCGCCAGCACGCTGAGGTACTGCGACATGAACTGCTCGTAGGTATCATAGTCAAAATCGTCTGGTCTCCTGAAGCCATAAGCGTCAATCTCACTGTAGAAATGAAACAACAAATAAAGATATGAATAAAATAAACTACATTTAAAAAGATGGCAGTGGACATTTGGTCAGTGCCGATTTTCTTTTTGTAAACGTTTATTTACGGAGGTACAGAGGGTTTCTCTGATAGGCTCATAGAAATAGTATATATTTGAATATAAATTTAATTAAACAGGTTGAATAAACAAAGGCTGTTTAACTGGTTAATCAAACAATTAAAAGAGATTAATTAATTAATTTTTAGAATGAACCATTAACACATTAAAAAAATAAATTCTTGGTTTTTTTTTTTTTCTGTCCCTACAACATGTACAGGTACACGTCACGTACATTTACATGTACAGTGTACATAACTATAAGGAAGACATGTATAAGGCGAAGTAAAAAAAACATGTTTCTCGTCCCCCCTTTCTTTTTGGAGGCCGCCTGGATTTTTTTAAATTATTTTATATTTTTGAACAATGCAGGAAAAAACACTGAAAAAGTCCACAAATTCATCGGAAAAAAAAAATACTTGCGAAATATGTGACCAATACAACTCACTGTAAATATGTTCAGTTTTCTTGTCCAACTTGTCTTTCATTTTAAAAGTGTCTTTGAACAGTGGAAACACCAACGGTTGCAGGAAATTATAAAAATGGCGGCAATCTTGAAAAAAATAAAAAATAAAAAATAAAAAGAACCTCTTCCTCCTTTTTTTTCTCATAAACCCGGACGAGAAACATGTTTTTTTTTAAGGAACAATGCAAGGTGAATGTTACAACTAAACAAGGAAGTAAACAGTTCAATTTACATGTACACGTTCATAAATGTATTTATGACAAAGCAAATTGAAACAGATACTTTCGATTCGAGAGAAACCTCTTCAACCGACTTCTTAATTACACTTTCAGGGAGTGACTCATGATTCTTAACAGCCTTGGCATATGTTATCATTCTCATTGTCGGGAAAACATTGACGACTTCCTTTATGCATTGTAAGTCTCAAGTTCTAAATAAATGTCAGTTTTGTCATATTTGTTTTTACCCAAACATAGACACCTTTTGCATATGAAGCACAATACATGTACAATATGTAAAAAAATCCATGCTTGCCAACCCTCCTTCCCTCCGAAAAAAAAACACAGAATATAAAAGAAAAACTAATTTCCCTTACTTTTAACAGTTAATCAAATTAAAGGAAACAGACATTTTAGGAAAATATTTCTCAGTGAGGTTTACATAATTAAAGTAGTGCCATGAACATCTGTTACCAACATATTGATTTAAATTCCCCCACAACAAAAAAGAAACAAATAAAAAATCAATCAAATCAATCTGATCAGTCTGGTTTAACACCTTGCAAAAATGATTCAACAGTCGTAATTTGGTTAACAGAGCTGGCCTGAATTCTTTTGTTGCATGTACGGTTTATATTGTTTGAAGACTTCAAGGTTTTTCTGTACTAAAATGAGTCGAACATTTGTCAAAGAAAGGCCAAGTACAAAGAAAAAAAACCAGTTGATCTTCCCCGCTCGCATTTTTTTTTTAAGCCGCGTCCTTTTAAAAAATTTTAATTGTTTTTTTTCTCACCTGCTAGTGCTAACTTTTTCTTGTAGGCATATTTCGCTTTAAAAAAATACACAGAACATGTTTAACTTTAATTTTGACCCTAGTATTTAATAATAATAGGATAGCTCAATATTTATTTCGCTATGACATACCCTGAACTCCGTCGTGTGAACACGGGGGAGTCCAACCTGGGCTAGTCATTGATTGACTGTACTTGGTTGCAAAAAAAAAAAAAGCTTGGCCTAGCGGTCGGTCGGCTACGCGCGACTAGCACTGTGCTGTCATCAGAAAAGAAATATTACTGTAGTGTAAGGCCTACCGATTCAATTTAATTCTGAAAACGTTACCTGTCCTCGACATGATCACAGAATGACGGAGCAAAGGCAAAATTCAAGAACCAGTTACGCCTACCTACCTTCGCAAATCGTTGCCGCTGTTCGCGGCGACTCCCCCGGCGGCCGCCATCTTGTTTATGTCAGGATAATTAATTGTTTCGCCGTTGGTGGCGCTCTATACCCAAAATTCCGCCACTTGCTGCAGAAACTACACACGAGCAACGGTAGTCGTGGTCATTAAATTTCGGTTGCCAAGCAAGATTTTCGACATTTTTGGTTGGAGAAAAGCAGCGAAACCATGAGGCTCAAACGATTTCTACTGAGATATTATCCCCCGGGTAAGATCGAAAATTACTTCATGTATAGAATTAGAAAGTGGTAAACCAGTATCACAAACATGACAAAACATAATTTTTTTGTGACACAGCTAGATTGTGATTGGTGATGGTGCATACTGCATGTGAACTTTTTAATAACAATACCATCATTATTATATAAACCGTGGAGGTGTTGCAATCATGACATCATAGAATGACGGCTGTAGGCCTAAATTATAAGTTTGTTACACATCGTCATGATCATTGTCGATCTTGGATGAAATTTTCTAAAAACGTATTATTCACATCCAATTTAACAAATGGAATTGGAATGTAAGACCAGTGAACGTTAGACGTAGTGTCAATTACAACCGACAACGCCACGCATAACTGTTATAAAAAATCTTCCATGTGTTGAACATTTTCTACATGAACGTCATTTGTCTTATGAATAAAGAACTTTAACTTTACCCCTAACCCTGCTGAATCCAACAGGATCCAACTATGTCATATACCCGATGGAGCCTGTTGGATTGAGCAGTTAACCCCTTGTGTACATTGCTCATGCAAAATATTGGATTCAGCAGGCAACTGAATCGCATAATAATGCCATGTTGGACTCCGTTGGATTCAGCTAGCAGACAGCTGAAAATAAGGCACAGTGGATTGAGCAGGAAACTCCGGTTGGACTCTGTTGGATTTAGCAGGGTAGTCCTGAGGAGGTTAGGGTACAGTGGATATTCCAATCGACGTAGCGATTCACATTTGGAGAGAGAGTTATGGTGATCAATGATCAGTTGATTGTGACATTGATTCCAAAACAGCATCAGCAGTTGAGTTTGAACTTACTTAATAATCAACAGTTGAGTTTGAACTCAATATTTCTTCTTCGTTTTTCAAACTGTTTGTTTTTATTGCAGGGATCATCCTGGAATACGTGCAGTCCGATACACTCAAGACAAAGTCCATTGACCTCTTAGATCTGAAGCCAGAGTAAGTAAAAAGTAGCCTTGGCAGGCCTGGATTAACAATTTACTGAACAGTGTGAATATTAGTGGTTTCTGAAGTGTTTATAGCGTTACTGTGTAAACTGCAACTTTTGCAAGCATCATCTGTCGCACGTTAAAATGCACATAAACCTGAAATCTGTTTTGGTTTTCCATATAGCCCGGTTTTCATTTCAAAAATTCCATACAAATGGTATTCAAAGCCTTTCTGTATCATTGTCTGAGAAGTTACTAAGTAACTTGTAAAAGTTTATTATGGGTACCTACTTCGTAAAGTTGGTTACAGGTTCCCGATCCCATAATCTGGAACTGGTTCCTGACATCAGTGGTCGGGTACCCGGTTCCGATGCACACTCCTACTTTGCACCCCTTGGTTTGCCTTACATACAGGAGCGACGTGGATGCCATACTAGATGAAATTGTCAGCAAGGAACCCCTGGTCACGCCCAACCGCACGCCCCAGGTCAGGCAGCTTATACAGAGGCTGCAGGAGAAGATCGGCCTGAACGACGACCACAAATTCTACCTCTTCAAGGTGAGTGTGTTTGGTCTGCCTGTAGTGTCAAACTTGTCACGTTTCATTGGCGAATCTAAAGGAGGGGGGGGGGGGGGGGTTGAAACCCCCTGTTCAGCAACAGACTGATACTACAAAAGTCGAACTCATGGACTCGAAGTTCCATTTTGAGATTTTGAGAACTTTTGTTGCTTCAAACAAACAAAATGCACAAATTACAAATGAAGGACTGCACCTTTAAGTACATGTAGTCTAATTTGCAAGTCACTGAGAAATTACAAATGGCCATACCATGTAAGGCTGGCCCTCTGGGTCCAGGAAAAAATATATGTGGTTAATTTTTTTTAGAAACTTGAAAAGAGCGCGGAGAGTTCACCTTTAATCACATTGTTAACAATAGTGACAAAAAATTTGAGTTGTGTACACGACACATGCTCGAGTTAGACCAAAAATGGATTTTAGATTTTCGTTTCATTTCCCGCAGGCCCTGCGAGCGCACATCCTCCCCCTGACCAACGTTGCCTTCAACAAGTCTGGTTCCAGCTTCATCACAGGCAGCTATGACAGGACCTGCAAGGTCTGGGACACGGCCTCGGGGGAGGAACTCCACACGCTGGAAGGGCACAGGAACGTGGTCTATGCCATTGCGTTCAACAACCCCTATGGGTGAGCATTTAACATTGTCCAAACGGACCTATAACTAAGGCCAAATAAAAAAAATACAAGTTTTCTGTCTCAGCCGGTATCTTTTTTTCCTGCCGCATCAATTTTTATTTGTTTTTTATTTTCACTTTTCAAAATGGTGGAATCTGCCGTATTATCTAATATTTTCATCATCAGAAATATCTTGTGTGGTAATATTTGTTTCCAACATGAATGCGTAGTCATTTTGATAAAAAAAAAACGAGTCTTGGGAAAGTGATGGCAATTTTTGAGAAAAACAGCATCTTGGAAAAATTTGTCTTGGAAAAATCTCACGAAAGCGGCATATGTTTAAAAAAAAAAGACATCCGCCATCTTGGATCTGTTTGTTGGCAAAAAATTGAAGTGCCTGCATCCTACTTTTAAAAAAAAAAATACCAAAATGTTGTTCGAAAGTTTGGTTGCCACTTTGGTTGAAACATTCGAAATCCATTCACAAATGTTCCTACAAATGTCTCAACCGAAACCTAATTTCTTAAAAATGGGACATTGTTTTTGGTTTTTTTAACAAAGGATCAAGGATGTCTGTAAAACTGTTTAATCAACATCAGCATTGGTAGCACATTTATAAAGAGTTCCCAAAATTCTGAGATCTGAGAATGGTTACTTTCATCACAAATGAATTTTTGTTTTTGTTTGTCATGGTGCATCATTTCACAGGGACAAAATTGCGACGGGCTCCTTTGACAAAACTTGCAAGCTGTGGAGCTCGGACACCGGACAATGCTACCACACCTTCAGAGGCCACACCTCGGAAATTGTAAGCATGAAAAGCAAGTCTTGCGAGTCCCTAGATTAACCCTAACTCCCTAGCATGATTTACTAGGAACCATACCCATCCTGGCAAATTCCAACACCATATGGGAAACTGCACACATATTTCTGACGTTGATTCTGGAGGTGTGCCAACCCAATATAAAGAGCAATACAATTCCCCTTTTTAATGAGGCACCGAATGAAAAATGTGCCCACATTCAGGAAAGGAATAATACATATTACAAAATATTGAATAACGTGGCGTGAAAACAGGAAAGCCATCCTCAAAGCCTTGCGGATGGCAAAATAAGAGAAAAGAAAAGTACTTTTGGTCGAAGTAAAACACACGCAGTGAATTTTTTTTTGAGGAGAAAAAAGAATTGAATTTGTTAAATTTGCAGAGGAAGAACAACTTTAAGGTAAAAATAGCAAATACCATGTGACCTGCTCTCAGCCAATCAGAACACAGAAGCTGTGAATTTTTTTGAATAAATTATTATATTCAAATTTGAATAACCTTTGTTCCCGATAGGTATGCCTAGCCTTCAACCCACAGAGCACAATACTAGCTACAGGCAGCATGGATACTACGGCCAAGCTTTGGGACATAGAGTCTGGTGACGAAATATCAACATTAGCCGTGAGTATAAATACACAGGCATGCAACTTTTCCTCTGATTCGCTGATTTCCTTGTTTTTTATTTCTCATGAATACCATTACGAATTGAAAAGCACTGTACAAAGTCTTGCGTGGTTTGGAGTTTCCTCGTTTTTCCTAAATTCCTAGTTGCATGCCTGTACACAGTAACCCTCCTGCTGTGTCGACAGTCACTGACAGTGACAAAAAATCAATCCTCCTCCCCTGCCATGCCTGTCATGACTAGTCATCAACAGTCAAATCACATTTCTTGTAGTCACGTGCCTAGTCAAATTTCATCAACGGATAAAATTAAGTTGCTGTTAGGTACTGCTGGCTTATCAATCACCTACAGTCAATCAAAGCTGTGTCAAACTATGGCCAAGTTAGCGCAAAGACTATAGTTGACCAATGGTTAACTAACGTTTGCCCGAACTCTGTCTAGTCGACGATGGTTGACTACACTAGTCGACTATTTGGAACCAGCCTACTGGGGTTGGTTGCTTCCCTGGTAACCAATAGCCGCGCGCATTCATAACGCTAGCAGAGAGCCAGGATCCAGAAATTTTGCAATGACATTTTGACCAGCGTTTGACAAGAGACGTTCGCACGTTGCTATCAGTGCACAGGCGTAAGGTACGTCACAAATCAACCACTAGTCGACTAATAGTCCTTGCCCGAACTTGGCCCTATATTAACATTCACACAGACATGAAACCTTTTCTTGGATCCACTGATTTCCTCGTTTTTTTTCTTCTCATAAATGCCATTGCAAATTGAAAAATACTGTTTAAAGGCTTGTGTGATTTGGAGTTTCCTCGTTTTTTTCCCTTCTAAATTCCCAGTTGCATGCCTGTTTACAGCCAGTCAATCTGCTTTTTGTAGGCAGGGAGTGCTCAACTGTTAGCACAGTCACATGATTGATTTTGCCTGCTTGGATGGCTGTAATAGTTAAATTCGAAAGTAAAATTTAATGAAGAATGCTAGGGACAGCTGTTTGGAGTCCTAAATGTTATCTCGTATTTTTACATAATGCATTCTTTGGGTTTTTTGGTTTTGTTTTGTGTCCAGGGTCATTCAGCTGAAATCATTTCCCTGTCATTCAATACGACTGGGGATAGAATCATTACAGGGTCCTTTGACCACACGGTATCTGTATGGGACGTCCACTCGGGGAGGTCAGTATCTCTGCTTGATAAGTCTGTAGATTTCACCTCGAAGTTGCATTTTGCTTTGTCTTTTTGGTTTGTGTCGAGACTGGTCTTGGTTTTCCAGGTCTCGACTTGCAAACCTTTGTCTTGGTTTGGAGTGTAACTGTGTCGTTCTTGGTCCTGAGATCTTGGTCTTTGTTTTAGATCTTCAGATCTCAGTTTAACACTCTGGGGACCTTGGGATGTGGGCCTAAGGTCTCAGATTCGCAGGTCTCAGTTTTGTACCTCAGGTCCTGTTCTCAGACCTTATGTCTTAGTTTCAGAGCTCAAGTCTTGGTCATGGACCTCAGGTCCAGGTCTCGGACCTCCGGTCTTGGTCTCGGATCAAGGCTCTTGACTTTAGGTCTTTAACCACAGGTGCAGGTCTCAGACCTTGGGTATGGGTCTCGCACCCAGGCTCCTGGGCTTGGACTTCACGTGCTGGTCTCAAACTTTAGGTCACGGACTCATACCTCGAATCCTAGACTCGGACCTTAGGTCTCAGGTTCATACCTCGGTCTCAGACCTCAGATCCCATCTCAGACCACAGGTCTTTCACATCAAGTCAAGGTCTCTGACCTCAGGGCTTGGTCTGAGGCCTCAGTTCCTGTCCTTAGATTTTAATTCCCGTTCTCAGACCTTTAGTCTTGCTCTCAGACCTCAGGCCTTGGTCTTAGACCTCAGGACCTGTTCTTGGGCATAAGGTCTTGATCTCTGACCCTGGGTCTCAGTCACTTACCTGAGGTCTCACCCCTCGGGTATTGGACCTCAGGTTTTGCTTTCAGACCTAGGAACCTCCTATCTCAAGTCTCAGTCTCTTAGCTGTAGTCCCCATCACAAACCTCAGATCTCAGGTAACCAGATATTCGATCTTCAATATTCAATCCCAGACGTATCCACACGCTGATCGGTCACCGGGGAGAGATCAGCTCGGCCATGTTCAACTACGACTGCTCGCTGATCGTCACCGGCTCCATGGACAAATCCTGCAAGATCTGGGACGCCAGCAGCGGCAAGTGCGTGGGCACGCTGGGAGGCCACGAGGACGAGATTCTCGACGTCGTCTTTGACTTCACGGGCCAGTACATAGCCTCTGCGTCGGCTGACAGTAAGTGTTGTAGCGGCATGTGTTTACCACCAGAAGAGACAAAAAATTATCTTGCCTTGACAGTAAAAAAAAACAAACTTGCTGATCACCAGTTTGTCTGATGATGTTGTTGTATGAGTTTTCGCACTGGTATGGGTAGCGCAGTGCGTAAAGCGCTTGCCTCTCACAACTATGGCTCGGGCTCAATTCCCGGCTCGGGTGTATGTGAGTAGAGTTGTCCATTGATTCTCTCCTATGCTCTGTGGGTTTCCCCCGGTTTTGTTCCCTTCGCAAAAAATCAACTCTTTCAATCTGGTTGTGCTCCGTGGTCAGACATGGGTTGTATGGCCGCTGCCTAAGGCGCCTTTACATGCCTTCCGCTTTACCACGTTGTAGCTGTGTCCTTCACCATCAGCTTCTGCTGCGAGTAAGGACAACTAGCACCCCTTTTTTTTTTTTAAATTTATTCATTTGTGTTTATGTGCAGGTACAGCCAGAGTATACAATGCCGTCACGCACAAATGTATAGCGAAACTGGAGGGACACGAAGGAGAAATCTCTAAGGTAAATAGAATTTATTTTTATTTTTTAAATTGTTTAAAATTTATTTTGATAACATGCAACAGCCCAAGCGCAGGAACGGGATGTATAATACTTGGTAGAAGATGTGGAAGGAAATAACAGTGTTAGTGGTGGGAGGAAAACCCCAGAATGTTATTCTAGGGAAAACCCACGGAATCAGGCAGGGACTGAAAACCCAATCCACATATTGGCCCAGGTGGGATTCGAACCTGGGCCACAGCGGTGGAATGCGAGGAAAGTATCGCTTCGCTGACCTGTTCCCCCTGCAAACTTCAAACAAATTTGTTAAGAGTTCAGACAGGACATCTTCAACCCTAACTTTCCCAAATCCTCCAAAATCCTCTTTGCAAAATGGAGGATTTTGCAGGATTGAGGCAATATGGCAAAAACGTGTGGCTGATTTTGGAGGATGCACTGTGTGAAGGTCTTGGACCTTGTGTTGTTTATGCTCAGCTGTGCTTAACTTTAGGCCTAGATTATGTACTTCAAATCCTCCGCACTGCTTCAGGATGTCACTGGCTCTGCCTCAACATATGGACAATGATTGCTGGAGGATTTTGCAAGATTGCAGAGGCAGTGGTCACCCCTCCAAGGACCACATTCAGGAAATAACAGAGATTTTGCAGGATTGGGGCTGTATGCAATTTTTTACCTGGAGGCAGTTGGAGGATTTTGCAGGATTGAGGTTGCATCCTTGCGAAAATGCCCGGGGAGGTAGGGTTAATAAATTCAACTTTTTTTTTTATCTTCAGATTACGTTCAACCCTCAAGGCAGCAAAATCCTGACAGCGAGCTCGGACAAGACTGCTAGGCTGTGGGACCCGATAACTGGAAAGTGCCTACAGACCCTTGAAGGCCACACCGACGAGATATTCAGCTGTGCCTTCAACTACGAGGGCAGTATCATCATAACAGGTCAGTTTGGTGCTGGGGAGGCGGGGCTTAAGTGCTGGAGGGGGGGGGGTCTTGTCTTGTTTCTTTGTGGGACCTAATAACCTGTAAGTGCCTACAGACCCTGGAAGGCCACACCGACGAGATATTCAGTTGTGCCTTTAACTACGAGGGCAGTATCATCATAACAGGTCAGTTTGGTGCTGGGGAGGTGGGGCTTAAGTGCTGGAATTTGGGGGGGGGGGTCTTGTTTCATTGTGGGACCTAATGACCCGGATGGGTCTTATGCACGAGTTGGCCATTTTTGTCGAGTTCCCTGAATGTATTTCATAAATTGTTAATTGTTGAATGGGATGGCGCCAGACTATATGTGACCTGTTCTGTCAAAAGCAGACGCTTCTGGGCAGAGGTTGAAATTAAGATAGGGCCAAAAAATGCGATGGGGTGATTTTTTTTTGATTTTCTAATTCTTGCATATTTGTAATCCTGAACATGTCTAAAATATACTATAAAAGTTTGAAACCCTAATTTAAACTCTAAATATAGTATTTTTGATGATTTGTTGAGGTATATTAGTTAAAGAAATGTCTGTTTTGTGATGTTCGTGGCCATTTTCTACGTCTTCCACTTTTCGACACAATGAACTTCAAAATAGCATAACTTTGCCCAGGAATTACAGGTTTCAAAAATTAAACCACCAATTAAAAGGAAAACGTACATATTTTAACAATATCCAAAAATCTCATTTTCGACCTTATGCCCAGAAAAGTCTGATTTTGACAGAACAGGTCACATATATATGCAGCCTTATTTTACTGTCATTTTTTTTTAAAAATCTGGCTTAAAGCATCAGGGACTGCTTAATTACAAATTTTTAATTATTCATTGACGCAGGCTTGAATTCATTAGTAATTTACTCGCTTTCATTTCTCTTCGCAAGTTCCAATAATGAAGATTTCACCTCACTTTCAATTCAATATGGCTGACTCGTGCATAAGGCCCTTTGATGAGATAAGTTGTGCCGTCAACTATGGGCACAGTACATGTATCATTATAACAACTCAATGTGATGCTGGTGGAAGACGGAGGCGGGGCTTAAGTGATATGTGGAGGGGGTAGTCCTCTTTACATGTGATCAAAAATTTTGTTTAAATTAGAACTCTTTCGTCTTTTTTTTTCTACAGGCAGTAAAGACAATAGCTGTCGCATTTGGCGGTGAAGTCAACACAGTGACCTTTTTGTCTTGTGTGTCTTGGAGAGCTTACCAAAGTTTGCAGGACAGGTCAGCAATGCTCCTCTTGGGCTTGATAGGAGTTATGTGCATTTTCAGTAATGTTGATTTTTCCACCAATTTTTTTCCCCAAAGATGGAGGCGATATTCGAAAGGACCATTTTGTTTTTAAAAATTCAAAGTAATACAGTCGTGCTTGCACTGTTTTGTGTGATTCACATTTCTTTTATGTGGCTTTGTTTGTACTATCAAGAGTATCTAAAAGCAGTATTGTAATATACAAGTAAAACATTTAAAAGCAAAACAACTGGTGCTCTTTGTAATTCTAGTATATTCATGCTGCCTTTATCAACCCCACTGAAAACAAAAATTCCGAATGTGGTCAACAATGTTGATGCCTTTACTTGTCCTATTTTGAATTCACACACAATTTTCTATTACAGCAATAATTAAAGCATTTCTGATAGATTTTCGTTCTAGTTTCTTTCATGAATCTAAAACGCCAAAGTTTGAGGCATTGTTTCACTTGGTTTCATTTCAGCAATAATATTTTGACAATAATATGAAATTTAACCCAGCACTTTTTGATGCAGGTGAAACAGAGCTATATTCTTGACCTATGACCTACGATGGCCAGAGCAGTGTGGGTCAACACAAAGCGCCCTCTGTTGACCATTTTGGAATAGGGTCAGACACGCCTTATTGTCACATCATGCTTGTTTCATGAGAAAAATTATCCAATTTTACTAGCTGTAATATTACCTCGGCTTCCCAACTTAGGTTCCAAAATAAGCACCGAAAAAATGTAAGCTATTGACATAATTTATATTTGTTACATTTACATGTATCTTGTTTATTTAACTATTAGCCTTTACTATCAATGCCTTATATCACTGAAGCAATATTATTTTATTTCTGGCTTTTGTATCATAATTGGTTTTTTTTTTGGTATTTTCTTGAGTTCTACTGTACGTAATTTGTGTTGTATAACCGACACACAGATCCTTGTCATGTAATTGGTGGAACTCACGTCACATGACATTCGTTATTGCTCCCATTCACGCCGGTGCTCAAAAAGTCCCATTTGCCCATGGGGAATGGGAAATACTATTGAACAGTTGGGATCAGTCTTGTTCCACGACGCGGTATTTGTGTGCATATGCATGCTGGTGTGCGCGTTCAGCGTTGCGGGTAGCGCAGTATTGTTCCAAAGAGCCAGCGCTACAGCTTTGGGTTCAAACATTTTCGTGAAGGGGTGGTTTGGAAGAGAGAAATACATTTTCCACCAAATTTGTATTGAAATAAAAGTTCAAATAATCGAATGAAAAGGATCTATATGTCAGTTATATAAAACAAATATTGAGTGGCTTTAAATTGTGAAATGGGAGGAATATTATCGCTCGGTAAAATCTGGACTTTTCCAGTTCACTCGGCTTCGCCTCGTGAAATGGAAAAGTCCAGATTTTACCTTGCGATAATATTCATCCCATTCCACGCTGAGCCACTCAATATTTGTATACTGATACTGATTGGAATAGGACAGCCTGAGATGTTTTGCTGCAACCCTGTGTCAAAGAAAAAACACAAACCAACCGCGCCGGCCCCCCAAGAAAACAAAGTTTTGAAATTCTTTTAAAAGATGCTATTCTCCAGAATTGTTTTCTGCTTTTGGAGGGAACCATCATCCATTATGTCCATAAGCAGTAAGCATGGAAAAGAACATGCTATCTTTGCAGTAGAATTTATATTCAAAGCAATGTGCAACTGTTTCAAGAATTAGCCATTATTCCATTACATGTCCTCTTGTTCGACAGTTTCCAGTTTTCTCAAAAAAAAAACAAACTAAGTACCATCAACGCAAGGCTGTTGAAAAATCTGTTGTCTAAATACAGATAAAAGTTTAACAAAGGGGCTCGAACCTGCGACCTCTGGATTGCCGTTCCGGTGCTCAACTGAGCTATCCAGCCCTATGTTGGTGGTTGCTCATTTTGTCAGTGTCTTTGTTCAAGGGGCGCTACTCAGAAGCTGTAAACCTGTATATTCCATGTAGCCAGGGATTGCGCCCTAAGTCACGATCCTAGCAACATTAGCAATACTGCAAACACAGGAAATAGCAAACGGAGATCACTCAATGAGGATCAATTTCCTGTGTGGTTTAGTTGAAAAATACATAGTATAATCACTAAAGATCTAAAGTAAATTCACTAGCAATATGCATTGAGTTCGGTGGTTGCATTCTGATCCAAATATTGTACAGTTATATACACATATAACACTGATTGGAATGAGTGAGATGCCGTTATGTTTGTACAGCATTATAATTCATTCACATGACAATTTATGCTTGCTTATGATCCGAAGAGATAAAAACAAAAGGTCAGCTAAATCACATACAGCAGAAGGATGCAAGCTGCCCACACATGTATAAATGTACTGCATGAGGCCAAAGGTCAAATGTGTTTTAAATAATCTTTAATGAAACACTGCTACTGATAATTTTGGTAAATACAGTATAATCTTTATAATCCGTCCATACTTGAGATCTGAGATTGCAAATTTAAGTATTCATCAAATTCCTTTTTCTATTTACAGTAATTATGTGACGTGTTTGCATAGATGGCTTGCTTTTGTAGATTTTCAATGTGTTATCAATTTTCTTTTCATGATTGTACATGTACTACATGAGCTGTTAATTCATAAAGTTTGTGATAACATTTCACGAGCTGGATTTAACCATTAAAAAGTCTATTAAATTGGATTTGATTAACTTAAAGGTTAATATTTTGAAAGTTCCAATATTGTGGAGTCTAAGTTTCTATTTCTAGGATTCTATCAGCTCTTTCTTTAAGGAATGGAGTATTGTCAGAAATATTAATTGAACATTTGTCAGGATAATTTTATTGTATCTAATTTAATCAGCTCCGATGAATATATGTCAGCCACAAATTTACATAGTTATATTTTTTATAGTTAACTAAAAACAGTGGGTGGGTGGTCTCGTTTAAGAAAGGTTTGCGTATCCTACACTTTTTGCCCTCCTTCGATGGACTACGTAGAAGCCTACACCAACCACGACAACGATAGCGAGGTTAACGCCTAAGACAATTCCCACGATCAGCCATGTGTCACTCGTGCTTGCCTGGGTTGCTGGCGGGGAGGTAGTGGCGCCGGTTCCAGTGGCTGGTTGTGTTGTATTTGCAGTGGTTGGTACTGCTGTTGTTGCATTTGTTGCGGGTGCTGCTGTGGTTGGTTTGGTTGTAGGTGCAGTGGTCGGCTTGGTTGTAGGTGCAGTGGTCGGCTTGGTTGTAGGTGCTGTGGTTGGCTTGGTTGTAGGTGCTGTGGTTGGCTTGGTTGTAGGTGCTGTTGTTGGTTTTGTTGTAGCTGCTGTGGTTGGCTTGGTTGTAGGTGCTGTGGTTGGCTTGGTTGTAGGTGCTGTTGTTGGTTTTGTTGTAGCTGCTGTGGTTGGCTGGGTTGTAGGTGCTGTTGTCGGTTTTGTTGTAGGTGCTGTGGTTGGCTTGGTTGTAGGTGCTGTGGTCGGTTTGGTTGTAGGTGCTGTGGTCGGTTTGGTTGTAGGTGCCGTGGTTGGCTTGGTTGTAGGTGCCGTGGTTGGCTTGGTTGTAGGTGCTGTTGTCGGTTTTGTTGTAGCTGCTGTGGTTGGCTTGGTTGTAGGTGCTGTGGTTGGCTTGGTTGTAGGTGCTGTTGTCGGTTTTGTTGTAGCTGCTGTGGTCGGCTTGGTTGTAGGTGCTGTGGTCGGTTTGGTTGTAGGTGCTGTTGTCGGCTTGGTTGTAGGTGCTGTGGTTGGCTTGGTTGTAGGTGCTGTTGTCGGTTTTGTTGTAGCTGCTGTGGTTGGCTTGGTTGTAGGTGCTGTTGTCGGTTTTGTTGTAGCTGCTGTGGTTGGCTTGGTTGTAGGCGCAGTTGTGGGTTTGGTTGTCGGCTTGGTTGTAGGTGCTGCTGTGGTTGGTTTGGTTGTAGGTGCCGTGGTTGGCTTGGTTGTTCCTGCACTTGTTACCTTTGTTGTTGGTAGTTCTGGTGTTACCTTGGTGGTAAGCACTGATGTGGTTGGCATGGTTGTTGGTTCCGCTCTTGGATTGGGTGTTCCTGCTGTGGATGCATTGGTTATTTGTGCTGCTGCAGCAGACTTAAAACCTGTATGGAAAGAAAAAAAGGGTGCATTTTTTTCTCTTTCTGGATTAAAGTACTATGTCGTCCTGTTTTGTGCTCCAAAGAGAGTCTCATCTATTCATACATCTTACAAGGTTAATATGTGATTTTCACTTAGAAGATACATTGGTTCTATATTTATAATTCTACTTACCCAACACCAGCAGGACGAAACATGATATCATCAAATTTGTCTTCATCTTGTCACAATAAATCCTTCCTTTCAAACTCTGATGTGGAATAGATGTTGCACCGTGTGCTCCGTACAGACAACCGGGGTTTGCGCGCGTTTTCCACCGTATGAAGCAACAGTCTATACCCGCGTTGTGCAGCTAGGTGGGTAACTTTTCTTATCAATGAGTGTGCATATATGTTAATCACGTGCGCCTATCTGTTCGTGGACCATATATCAACGGATAAAACATCTTGATTGCTATCCACTTTGAATTATGTCAATAGCAAAACATCCCACTGTGTTATAAGGGAGCAACTCAACAACTCCATTCGTTGCTAACCCTGGCTTGGTTTGGGAGTGACGTAGCCAACGGGGGAGGGGGAGGGGGGGGGTAGGGGTTAGGGTATTTCCATGGGCCGCGCCAGGATTTTTTTCGGGGGGGCAAAGCACATTTCTCCCAACATTCCTTAACTTTTTAAACGTATTCTCAATTTCAAAAAGTTTTCCGAGTGTGGGCAGAGCAATATTTGCCCTACCCCCCCCCCCCCCAAATTAACAGCAATATGGCTGTGCACCTCTTTATTCTTTATTTTGTTTTCTCCCCTCCCCCCCTCCTTTTTCCAGGGTGGGGGTGGAGCAAGCGCCCCCTCACCCCTCTCGTCCCCCCCCCCCCTTCGTGATGCCATGCCTATTTCGCAATTGTTTATCCCCATCTGCCCTTTTGTTTAAACAACTGATATTTTGGTTTGTTTAACAAGTGCCTTTTTACAAAAAAGAGCAGCTTTTTATTTAACTAGCAGCTGTAACGGTGCCTTTTTGGGAATTACGCGCCCCTCCCCTTCCCCACACTATTTGATTAAAAAGAGGCTACATTTCATCACGGATGTGCGAGTGCCCTTTTCAAGAAATGTTTACCCCCCCAATAAAATGACCTTGCTAGGCTTCGCCTATGATTAGCCCGGCTGTGGCCGCGTTTAGTCAAACTACAGAGGGCGCTGACTAAAAGTTTGTAAGAAAATGTGACAGACTAATGCAGAGGCAGTTTATAAAAATTAATCCATCAAATCAAACAGAAATCGCTAAAATGGCACCCTGTTATGTGTACGGCACAAAATATTTGTCGTCTGCTCATTTTTTTGACGAGATCTGACGTCACACACTTCTGACCAATAAGAGACAGGCCGTGCGACACACAGTGCTACGTCACGGATACTGCCTCGAATGCCTAGTCTGGTTCCCTAAGCCAATTGTTCTTTGGACTTCAAAAATAAAAAGTTGGGGGCGGGAAACAGTCTATCGAATGCCCTCTTGTCTTTTAAAAAAAATAGTGCATTTTGTTGTATGAAATTGATGCTACTCCATCCGGATATGAATATTATTCCTTCAAATGTATTCTTTTTATTCAATTTACAATTCCAATCACGATGAAAATGTTGGAATTATGTTTAAATAAGTCTAAGGGGAGAAAACTAGTATGCGGAGAAATACACGCCGAGTGCCTTGGCCCATTTGCCGCGCACAGACCCTGGTACGGAGCAACAGTCTGCGATATAAACATGACACTTTTCACCGCCATATCATTACGCTATGGAAAATTACCGAGAGTGGAGCTGGGTCAACGGACACTGGGAGACAGCTCGCAATGTCTTCCCGCTATTTTGGTCAGTCACCAAAAAAGAAGAAGAATTGCCTCAAATTTCACAAGCAAAGCTGCCACTTTAACCTCCGAGTCGGCCGTCCAGCTTCAAGCCACCAATGCGGAACACGTACCATACCATGGCGTCTTCTTTTGCGCGAGAAAACGTCGATGAGTTCCGGGACCCTTGAAATCTTGCAATTTGACCGGACAACCGGCCTTATGTACGGGGCCACTGCAACATCTCGCCGCAGACATATGTTGCATCTTTGTCGTCGTCACCAATACTGAAAAACTGACTTGAACTTTGCTGTAGGCCTACAGAACTTGTCATAACTTTTGTTTTACAGAACTATTGGACTTCGCAACTGCATTTCTTTGAATGTTCATTTTGTGCTGAACTGAACTGAACTGAATGGACACATGGAATTTTGTGAACTCGTATTATTTTGTCGAATGATCTGAATGACGTTTTTTTGGAAAATACTGAAGTCAAGCTTTTGGAGTTCGTCGGGGTAAGTCCAACTATAAATAAGGAATTGTCGAGGGTGAGTGAAAATTTATTTTCTTCTCTGGTTACACAGAAACAAAACACGTAAATGCGTCTCAATATTCTGCATTTTGAGCAATGGTACTTGATATTTCTGTCTGCATTTTAAACCTTTATTCGCATCAAGTAAAGCCACAAAATTCCTCTTCTTACGTCCCTAAATCGCATTGAATAAAAAATCTTTAATTTCATTTACAATATTGAAGCATGGTGCATTGTATATTGTACATGAGGTTGTCTTTTGCATTGTTGAATTTTGCTCGATGAAATTCCGCAATTCTTCTCTTTAAATAGCTCATTTTTGATATGTCTATATATGTTAGAATAGGCACAATACACTGTTGCCGAAAAATGGCTGCCATTATGAGTCTCCTTCGTGAGTTTGTCTTTTGCATTGCTGAACATTGTACGTTGAAATGCCATTGCTGCAGACGAAAGCCCTTTTGATTCAGAGTAATTTGCATATGAATACCTGTCAATTTGTTTGTCCAAAATCATATACGTGTACGTGCCTTTTGGTGCATTGCGCATTTCACTCATTGTTTCACAAGCCGCTCGAAAGCGAGAGCGAGTGGCGTGAGTCTGCACGTGAGCCGCTCGTGGCCGGCGCAGTGTGGGCGTGTTTAAAGACTCCGTGAATTCCTATTGGTCGAACAGTTGAAAAGACGCGCGCGCGGTATGCAGCCAGGTGCACCGTCTTTGCTACACTTTCAAAGACATTCCAGCGAGGGGCTTGCAGGGGTTTACTCGAAAGTTGGAGTAAACAGGTTTAGATTTTCGTTAAGAATGGAGGGTTCCTTGGAATTAATTTAGTATGCCTTTTTTTGTTATAATTGTATTAAAATGACTGGTTTAAAACCTACTTTTTTTTAAAGATGAAATGAAAAACCTGAACACCATGAAATCGAGGAGTTAACGGAGCCAACGGAATCTGTCATAAACTGGGATTTATTTAATGTAAACACACCATTTAGAGTATTGTAGGGCGGCATTCCAATGGACCAAAATCAAATTTATGGACAATGTGTCCATGGATCTCAAATGCGTATAAAGCTGAAAATAATGAACTTTACACCATTAGCTTTGGGGTAACTTGTTTATATTATAAATGCTACACCCACTTCAAGAGGACAGCAGAAGAAAAATATTGAGAGCCAAATTATTTTGATTATGATTGTATAAATTTAGATTTTAAAAGTTAGCCGACGGAATTATTTGAAGCTCATACGAATTGGAGGAGACCTGCTGTTGAGGATAATGATGACCATAATTCGACGTTCGGAAGAAGGCAAATAAGGCAAAGTTATGATTGTATTAAATGAATGATTACGATTCAGGTTAAGGCGTAGGATTAAGGCGGGGTGGGTGGGGGTATAGGCACATGGCGCGCGTAGGCAGCCGAGCACACCAGCAGCAGCGTAAGGGAGCGTGACCTGGCACAGCCATGGTGTAAAAATTAACTTATAAAAATATGTTAACAAAACAATTACAAAATTACAAAAATACCTTTTCTATTCACAGTAAAAATCAGTGGGAAAATCGTAGCTTTATACTTAATTAATGAAATAATTAATTAACGGTAGCAAATTAAACATCTGTATCGAGTTAGTGCATTCTAATAGAAGAAAATTACAATTATCAAAATAAAAAAAAATCATTTAATATCAAATATGTTTATGAAATTACTAGACTCACATTACTGAGCTCTAAGGTTACATGCGTTGATGAGCATCAGTTATTTATAAAATAGGAGGACATCTTTGGGGTAGTTTTATAGCGATGTTTTAATTGTAGGTATGATATCGTCTTCCCGAGAAAGTGTTAACGGGTTGGTGATATCTTGTAAGTGAATATAGTGTCGTCTTCCCGAGAAAAAAATATTTCTCGGGTTGATGATATCTTGTAGGTGAGATATCGTCTTCCCATGATAATGTGTCATCACGGGTTGGTGATATCTTGTGTGGGGTGAGATGTTATCTTCTCGAGAAAAAGATATTTCTCGGGTCGATGATATCTTGTAGGTGATATCCTCTTCTCGAGAAAGAAAATATTTCTCGGGTTGAAGATATCTTGTTGGGGAGATGTCATCTTCTCGAGAAAAAGTGTATCTCGGGTAGATGATGTCTTGCAGGTTAGATATCGTCTTCCCGAGATAACGTTTCATCACGGGTTGGTGATATCTTTTAGGTAAGATGTCGTCTTCTCGAGAAAACAAACATTTCTCGGGTTGACTATATCTTTTGGATGAGATGTTATCTGCTCGAGAAAGTGAAATATTTCTCGGGTTGATGATATCTTGTAGGATATCGTCTTCCAGAGATGATTTTTCACTGGTTGACGATATCTTGATATGTATATTTCCCGATACGAAATCAGTTATTATTTGAAAAAAAAACAACAGATTGAAGATGTCTCGTTCCGTGATAAAACAAAATGATTTCATCAACTCATAGCTACTATAGAGCTCTTTAAAATATTCATTGAAAAATGAAAATCTTTTACTGAATAGAAATAATACAAAAACTATTAAGGAACACATTAATTTTAACAAAAATGAAAATGTATGTCAGAAGTTTTAAATCTAACTTAACTTAAAAAAAACCCGATAAGGTTTTTG